GAGGGTGCAAGGGTGCCATGGACATTCAGAAATCAGATGCTCCAATTCATGCGGGCTACACTTCTCATTGAGTCAAGTAAAAAAGATGGTTCCTTTTCCTTACCAGAAGTCTTCCAAACAGCCGTGAAAGACGAGTTCAGAGACATTTCCAAACTCAGCAATAGTGTCTTCTTGAGTCTCCCAACAATGCTCACAGGTACCATACCTCCATTTTGCAGATAAAGAAAACAAAAACAACAAAGCAAAGCAAAACAAAACAAAACAAAACAAAAACAAAACAAAACAAAAACAAACAAACAAAAAAATGGAGGCCCAATGACGAGAAGTGACTCATTTGCCCAGGGTCACACAAGCAGGGGATTCAGATTCACATCTCTTGTCTCCAGAGCTCCAGTTTTTCCTTGCCACCATACTGCCTTCCTGCTGGCGGTAATTCTGCCCCTTTTGATTATACAACCCTGTTTGCGGGGCAGGGGGTGGGAAGGAGAATGCCTCTTTCCTAAGGTCCTCTCCCTCCCCCTCTTCTTTCCAACTTCTTGTTTTCCTTACTCTTCCTTCATGATGTGTCTAGTAAGAGAAATGAAAGAAACAAAACTTTAAAATTAATGCTTTCCTGGTCACTTAGGGTCAGCCTTGGGGGATTTATTTGGATGACCCTTGTTTCAGGGTTCTGTATCTGGGTGTGGCCAACAAATCCTAGGAGACAAGGCTGTAGGTGGTGGTTGATAATTCCTGTATCTAGTGGTGACTGGGAGGGGTCATAGCCCCCAAAAGCTGTAGGCTGCTAGGTAGCACAGTGGGTTACAGAGTCTGGAAGACCTGAGTACAAATCTGGCCTCAGATACTTTTTAGTTATGTGACCCAAGGGAAATCACTTCACTTCTGTCTACCTCACTTGCCTCAGCTATAAAATGGGAGTAATAATAACTCTCTCCCAAGGCTAATGTGAGGATCCAATGAGATAATAGTGCCTGGCACATAGTAGGTGCTATAGAAATGACAGCTGGTAACATATATATATATATATATATATATATATATATGCACACACACACACACACATATATGTGTATATATATATGATATGTGTATACCTATATATAACTGTATGTATGTATATACATACACACATAAATAGTAGGTGCTAAATAAATATCTATATATAGGTGATAAATATCAGTGTGTATTTATATATATAAACACACACATATATACATATAAATTCATATATACACACATATACACACATATACATACATATATATCAACAGACATTTATATGTTGTTCAGTCATTTCAGTCGTGTCCAATTCTTTATGACCCCATTTGGGGTTTTCTTGGCAAAGATACTGGAGTGGTTTGTCATTTCTTTCTCCAGTTCATTGTGTGTGTGTGCATGTGTGTGCATGTGTGTGTGTGCACGAGTGTGTGTGACATTTATATAGCATTCACTATGTGCCAGGAACTGTGCTAATTGTTTTATAATATCTCATTTGATCCTCACAACAATCCTAGGAAGTAGGTGCTATTATTATTATTCCCATTTTACAAATGAGGAAACTGAGGCAGATAGTGGTTAAGTGACTTGTCCAAAGTCACACAGCTCTTAAGTGTCTGAGTTGTATTTGAACTCAGGTCTCCCTGACTCTAGGCCTAAAATCTGTGCAAATGTTAGTTTTCATTTTTACCAACCAGGTAACAGAAACCCTGAGATAGTGACTTGCCAAAGGTCTTATAGGTAGAAATTGTCAGAGGATGGATTTGAACCTAGGTCCTCTGACTTCCACATGCAGTGCTCTTTCCACTGTACTGCACTGCCTTTCTCTGTTCACTAGAGAAAGTAACATTCAAGTCATAGTCCCAGCAACCAATTGTTCCCTGCCTCCCTTAACCCTGACTCTTCCCTAGCCAAGCTTAGAGAACTCTAGCTTTGGGTCAATGACTAGACCATTCTACTTAGAAGGCAGACTCTTGGATGCTTATATTCCTGCCTGGATAGTCGATGCAATACCTGTCATCACCATCACCTGCTTCAGTGTACATGTCTGTCCCTTGTATCTGCCTTGTCTACATTAGCTGCAAAATACTCTCCTTAGAGGAGACATAGACCATCTCTGGCTGCAGAAACCCTACTGCCGGATTTCGGGAATCTGGAGTTCAGTGCAGCGGACCAAGAGTTTGTCCAAAGACTGTCAGACAGGAGGTTCACACTCCTTGGGAATCTATTTGTGTGTTCCAGAGACTTCCAGAACAAAGAACTACACATGGTTATTTTGGCAAACACAGAAGGCTTAGATTATTCTTTTCTACCCCGTGGAAGTGGCCACCTAAGATGTGAGGGCTCAAGAAACATCTGTTTTAGCACTAACCAATGGATCTTCTGTCAGGGACTGGCCGTTCTTCACAGCAGGTACAGGATGCTTATCATTCTGTGAAATGCAATGGCCAGGACTCACACACGTTCCCTGATTTCCCTTGTCTCTTTATCCATGGGGATATCCAAGTACCTGGGGGCCCCAGTGGCTCATTCATGCCTGCTAGCCCCCAGTAGACGACCAGCCTCTAAGTATGATGAAAGGCCATTCTCTTGTAGCTGTTATTTTTGGAGAGGGCATTTTAGGATATGACAGCGGCAAATTAGCCAGCATAAGCCTTTGGCCATCTTTCAGGCAATGGGCTTGTGATGGGGTGGAAGTGGACGAGCAGGGGCATGTGCTGTATACAGTATGACTTTCCCATCTGGCACCCAGGTGTTAAGAGTTCATCTCTGTTGTCCAGACTACTCATAAATAAATTCAGTGGGGAGGGAGGGCAAGGAAAAAGGAGCCCTTCACATAGCCATTCCACGGAAATGAGTTTAGCCTTTGATCTACAAAGTCCATTAAATTTCTGTCAATTTTATCTACAATTTAAAGGACAGAGTGCATGGAGGCATCAGCTTTTGCAACTTATTTCATTTTTTAATATTAAAATATTTATTAAGAACGTAACATTAACTAAGATAAACCTCAAAGAAGATACGTGAAAATAACTCCTTTCCCCCTGCTTCTTTATGGAAGTGAGGGACTTCCATGCGTGTGAAATATTGCATGTAATGTCATATCTTTTTTTCAGTTTAGTTCATTTTTCTGAAAAAAAAAATTTATACTTTGTTATAAGGGATGGTTTCCTGGGAGAGGCTAGAGAAAGAGATATTGTGGGAAATAAAAATGATATGAAAATGAAAGATATCAATAAAATGTTAAAATTAAAATGGAAAGAGACATTAAACATCAATACAAGTGAGTAAACTTGCCTAGTAATTCTATTTCTTTTAATTAATTTCAACATATAATTATCATAAAACTTTTTAGGTCTCCTCCTAGGTCTCCACCAGCTACATTATACATGTTCTAATTACTTTGACTGGTGGCCTGACATGCCTAATAAATCCATCCTGGCTCAGAGTGATTTTGCTTAGTGACCATAAAGCATCTCCTTAATTATCTAGCCTGGAATTATACTTTATCACCATCAAGGTTATTATCTATCATCTACATCAGGTGGGGTTTTTCCCCTTTTGGAAAATCAAGACATCAGTAGTTCACCTATAGTCCCAAGACTCCATGACTATTCTCCACAATTTGTCAAAGATCGTCATCAGTGGCAGCAACTCATGTAATTAGCAATGCTAATATGGTCCACGGAGAAAAGATTTGTAGCCCCTAAGTATGCAAAGGACTTTATGTACATTATTTCATTCGAACCCCACAACAACCCAGTGAAGTATGACTATTCTCATTTTTTGATGAGGAAATTGAGGATCAGGGTAGCTAGGTGACTGCCTCAGGATTACATAGCCAGTCAGTTTCTGAGTTTTGATTTGAGCTCAGGTTTTCCTGACCTCAAATCCGTCATTCTATCAACAATGTGAAATTACCTCTCCTCTTGACAGTTAAAATACTGAGTTCTTATAATGATATGTCTATACAATTTCATTTGGTGATTTATCATTTATTTTCTTAGGAAATCTCACATGAATGAATGAATGAATGAATGAATGAATGAAAAAGCATTTATGAAGTAATTGCTATGTGTCAAGCACTGTGCCAAGTGCTGGGGATACAAATAGAAAAAAAGCAAAATAGTCTATGCTCTCAAGGAGCTCATATTCTAACTAAGGGAGACAACACATATAAGAGAGTTTCACTGTAAGGTACAGGGAAAGTCCCAGGAACCCTAAAGATCAGCAGTAGGGTAGATGGCAAGGTCTGGCAGTCCTCCATTTCATCAGAAGGATTATGGTTGGTGACACCCAGTTCATTCAGCAGAATGAACAGCCTGGCTACTTTCTAGCCAAGTGGCCCATATGAGATAAGGGTGAAGGGGAAGGCAAGGGGAAGAGCCCCCTCCTCCCCCACTGGAGATTCTTCTAATCCTACCACCTTGTTTTCACAAGTCGTTGACGTCTATGGTCATTTAGTTTTTCCGATATTTATATCTTGTCTTCTCAGCTATAGTGTGTATTCCGTGAGATCAGGGGTCACGTCTTTTGATTCTTCAAGTTCACTTTTTGCATCATAGGTACTCATTACAGTTTCTTTTAGCTGAATTTGAATTTTAGGCCAAACAAAATTGTTGTTGTGGTTCATCCTTTGTTTTCAAAAAGGACCAATGACATCACAGGGCGATGCTTTGACTTGCCCGTGAGTTGGATTTAAGTGAGACAGAGCTGCACAAAGTCATCAGCTTTTCTCTTTCTTCTGGAGTCATTGAACTCCAGGGGCAAGACAAAAGTCAAGATGACTGGTGATGGTTCAAATTGCAGTGGATGATTTTGGTGTCTTCCATGTTTGACCAAGTTCTAAGGGCTCCACAGTGCCTGCTTCAGCTGCCTTCATGGCTGTTGGAACAAATTATTCTTATCTGCCTGTTCTGCTGGGGGAAGTCTTCACATGCTTTGGGTAGACATTCCCTAACTCACCAATGGATTTGAGGCCTGTCAGTTACCCTCAACCTGGTTTAGCCAGTCTTCCCAGGGGCTGCTGGGCATGCTACAGCTTCTTGGAGCCAGAGATGAGGGCTGGGTGACAAGTGGGTACCAAAGGTGGATAAACCAAATACAAAGGCCAGGTTGGATTGCATTTTAAATTGCTACCATGATGGAACACAGTGTCCATTTGATATCCCTAGCAGTCTTGTGATGAAGCAGCAGACATGTTGGGACGGGGAGTAGCAAGTTCATATCTGTGTGATGATATTACATATATTCTCTAGACAAACCTCTATGTTGAGGGCAAGCATGATGCCTATGGGAGCCCCTAATAATAATTCTTTAGTGTCTTTCTTCCACATGCTTTCATGCATTAACCCAATGACCTGCAAAATACTTCAGCATGGTAGTGAAGTCTGATGACCTCCATTTTTCATCTCATTAGAGGGACTTATTTGGTGAAGGGTTAGCATTAGGCTCCTGATTTCTGAATTGTGGACCTTTGCTTAAATCCTTTAAATGAACTCTAGTCCAAAAGAAAAGAAATGTGTTTCATTTTATAATATTATTCCCACTTGAGTCTTGTTCGATATACCACCTGAAAAGCAAAGGGAGAGATTGGAAACAAGTTACAGGATCTGTTCACGGTTCCCCTAAAATTTTTGTGAGCCTCAGTCTCTGCACCTATAAAATAGAGATAACAATATTTGCCCTGCCTACTTTACTGGATTGTTGTGAAGATAAATTGAAAATATATAAGTAGAAGTTCTTTATAATCTATAAAATTCTATACTATTGCTGTGCTTTCTAACAACCAGCGTAGTGTATTACTACATATAGGCATACCTTGGAGATATTGTCGGTTTGGTTCCAGACCACCACAATAAAGCAAATATCACAATAAAGTGAGTCACATGAATTTTTTGGTTTCCCAGAGCTTATAAAGGTTATGTTTACACTATACTGTAGTCCATTAAGTGTGCGATAGTATTATGTCTTAAAAAAGTCCCACCTTAATTTAAAAAGATACTTTATTGCTAAAAAATGCTAACTATCACATGAGCCTTCGGTGAGTCAAAATCTTTTTACTGGTGAAGGGTCTTGCCTTGATATTGATGGCTGCTGACTGTTCAGAGTGGTGGCTGCTGAAGGTTAGGGGACTATGGCAATTTCCTAAAATAAGGCAACAATGAAGTTTGCCTCTTACTTTCAAGAAAGATTTCTCTGCAGCATATGATGCTGTTTGGTAGCGTTTTACCCACAGTAGAACTTCTTTCAAAATTGGGGTCAATCCTCTCAAACTCTGACACTGCTTTATCAACTAAGTTTATGTAATATTCTTCAGTGTTGTTGTGTCTCAGGGAATAGGAAGGCCTGAGGAAAGGAAGAGGCACAGGGGAACAGCTGATCGGCGGAGCAGTCAGAACACACACAACATTTATTGATTATCTTATATAGATGTGGTTCATGGTGCTCCAAAACAATTACGGTAGTAAAACATCCGAGGTCACTGACCACGGATCACCATGACAGATATAATAATAATTAAAAAGTTTGAAATATTGTGAGAATTTCCCAAATGTGGCACAGAGACACAGGTGAGCACACACTGTTGGAAAAATGGCGACGATAGTCTTGCTTGATGCAGAGTTGCCACAAATCTCCAATTAAAAAAAACAAAACCACAATGCAATATCTGCAAAGCACAATAAAGCAAAGCTCAATAAAACAAGGTGTGCCTATAGTAAGTGTTTAGTCAGTATTGAATGAATGAATGTGTATATAGCAAGACAAACTTCGTCAAGTTGAACTGTTGAACTTTTTCGGAATTTTCCAGAGAATTACATACCTCATCTCCTATTGCTTGCTTTTTAGTAGGATGGAGGAGCAGGGGGACCCATTCTATTTTGCCTTCTCAAAAATGGACAGGCATTTCTTTAAAAATATTCAGAAAATGAAGTCAGGTATTGCCAAATGGGACTATCGCTTGTGATGCATATATGTGTTTATCTTCTGAATTTTGGGTTTTTTACTGAGGGCTCTTTCCCTCAGCTACAATTTCTTATTTTCCATCAGGGTCAGGGAGCAGGGAGATCCATTCTATTTTCCCAAAAATTGTCAGACATTCCTAGAACTGAAGCCAGGTGTCCTTAAATGGGGCTATTAGCTTCTCACTCACAGGTACATTTTTCTTTGGGGCAGTTCCCAAAGATGGAGGACAAAAATAGATTTGCTTTATCTTCCTTTCCTCCAGATTCCTGGAATTAAGGGACATAGGATAGAACACTCTTATGGCACCCCACTATCTTATTCCTTCTTTGATGTGTTCTGTGGTTGCCAAGTATCTTAATTATATATATGTAGTATCTGTATGGGGTTTAGTATTATTCTATTGATAACAATTTTTTGTAACTAGCAGGAGTGAAGTATACATCATGGTGCAGTGGAAAGAATATAAAATTTAGAACCAGGAAGCCTGGGTTTGAATCTAATTTTATCATTTATTACCTTCATGACTTTAGGCAAGACTCTTAACCTCTCTGGGCTTCAGTTCACTCATCTGCAAAGGATTATGACAATAGGACCAGATGCTTTACATGACCTCTTCCAACTCTAAATATATGATTCTATGATCTTATAATAATTGAAGTATGGATAGCCTTCATATTCCATTGGTTTCTACGTAATTTCAAAAGATCTTGAACAAGGGATTTTTAATAGACCCCCATAAGGTTTATGGAGAGAGTTCAGGAGGTCTGTGAATTGCAATGGAAAAAATATATCTTTCTTTCAATGTACTTGGTTTCCTTTGTAATCTCATGTATTTTACTTTATTCATTTAAAAACATTATTTTGAAAAGGGATCCATGGTCTTTATCATACTCCTTGATCTAGAGAAAGCTGCTAAGCACTGTGGGTGGACCATCCTTGAAGGATTTATAAGACAACAGTAGGCATACAGGATGGGCAGGTTCATGTAGGGTTCCAACCCACATCAATGGGGGGAATTGCAGATCCATCAAAGTATCCTTTTTATATATATATTATAATTTAGGGTCATGTGTTGACTCTCCTATATAGATGTTAGTATGAGAGTTTTTCTGATGTGCTTAAAGTATGATTATTTCTTTGCCTACAGTTTAAAAAGTAGTAATGTATCCTTTCGTGAGAATTCGTAACAGAAAGCCAGAGAAATTACCAACTTTCTAGAAGATATTTCATGAGGAATGGAAAGAAAGTGAATCTCCTGTCTTAATGTCTGGCACTGAATGCTTGACATTGGTAAACTGTCCAGCTGGGAGCTCACATCTTTGTGTGAGTCCCCTGTTTATTCCTGAGTTCCTCTTCACTTCCAGGGTCATCTAGAGCAATTCATAATAACCTCATAGGGTTACAGACCCAGAGCTGGAAGGGACCTGGTCAGCTAGCTCAATGCCTTCTTGTTACTGATGAGAAAACAGAGACCCAAGGAGGTTGTGACATTCCAAGGTCCTATCAATAGCATAACAGAGGTTTTGTTGCTATGGTTGAAGAGGTAGGCGAGCAGCCACAATTACTTCAGTGGTCTCAACTTATATTTGAGAGAAATGTTTTGTTATTATTACTATCACTATTATTGTTGTTGTGTGCAGATTACTTTACTCATTCATTATAGAGCAATGGACTCTAAATAATTTTTCCACCAGTGGGGAAGGGTTGATATTAATTTATCCACACACCCTCACTCAGCTCCTACTATCCTGAAGAAGTGAAGCCTTGGAATTAACACAAGCACTGTCAGAAGGGAACATCTGGGCATCTTCTGTGAAGGGTCTTCTTGCCTCCATAATCTTGGGGGTGAGAAAGTCAAGAAAGAAGGCAGAGAAGTGGGATGAAGTAGGAAGCTTAAATCATCGACAAGACAGAAGTTAAGATATAATAAAAGTGGAAGGGATAACACAGTGGAAGGCAGAAAGCAAGGAGAATGAGGAAGGTTAGGAAGAAGGATAGAAAAAAGCAGAGAGAACTGCTGGGTTTTGGTCAAAGTGAATGAGCTAGGGGTGATGGGAATGAACTGGGAAGGAAGAAAGTGAAGTATAATAATAAAAAAGGGTGAAAATGCCCTTGGGGTGGAAAATGGATAAATAAATATGATGTTATTTTCTCCTCCAATATACCATACTAAATGTACTAAAGTCCTACTCAAATGTGCCCTAGTGTTGTAGAGGTGATGCTGGCTTCTTTATTTATTAAAGTTCCTCCTTTGTTTCAGAGTCAAACCCAGATGCTGCCTTTTCCATGAAGCCTTTCCCAAACACCTCCTCCTCTCACCCCTAGTACCACCAAAGGTAATCCCCTTCCTTCTCAAGTGTCTCAGAACAGTCTGGATCACACCTTCACAGTCATCTCAATCACTCTCTGTTGTAACATATCTTTCAATTCAATTCAACTCATTTATTATCTTTGTACTTGTCCCATTCACCCTATGCTATTAGACTGTAAGCTGCTTGAGAGCAGGACCTCTGTAGTATCTATCCTTATATCCTCAGTGCTTAGCACATGCTTTACAAACAGAATGGACACAATACATGTTCATTGAATCGAATTGAATTTTTGAAGACTGTTCCAATGGAGCATAAATTCAAAAGATCACAAGCAGAAGAGGCTTCCAATATAGGTCTAGTGATAGACAGTTGTCTTGAGGCCTATCACCAGAGAAGGCTGGTTGCCAAGTTATTTCTTTTTATCTGTAGCAATTCATTTAGCTGGCTACTAATACAGGGAAGGGATTGCTATCTGCCCTATTGGAGGGAGTACTCAAACCAGAATCCTCGCCATTTTATCTTCTTTTCAAGGCAATAAGGGTTAAGTGACTTGCCCAGGGTCACACAACTAGTAAATATTTGAGGCCGTATTTGAACTTTGGTCCTCCTGACTTCAGGCCAGTGCTCTATCCTCGCGCCACCTACCAGCCCATCCTCACCATTTTCCTTCTTATCATCCCTTTCTTTCTGAGAAAAATGTATAATCTGGAATTCTCTGTCTATTACAGTTTACCTTCTGTTGTAAGAAGAATTTTTAAAGGCCAACTCACTATTGATAAAACCTGCTCTATTTTAACTGCCTTCAGTTTCTCTGTGTTTTTGATTAAACATAGGGGCTGCAGGAAAGAGGAACGGTATTTTCTGTTTCTATTTCTGCTTCAAAAACAATGTGTTTTTGTATACAAAGGTATAAAAAGAAAGGACCAAAATTTGAGCCCTGATACAAAAGTGGCAAGCTTTCTCCTAGCTGGGACCAGAGTAAAATTAAGAGAAAATCTTATAGTCTTGAGTTCTGATTTTTTTTTTAAATAAACCTCTCAGAAGGGAGAGCTCAGCTGGGTATTGGATTTTCCTCCTGCTCCTAGAGCAAGGCTGGGCTTTCACAGATCACGTGTCCTCATGGACTCATTTATTTGCTCTTCCTCACCCACGTGCACAGAGAAAACTCTGCAGTGACAGAGTTGAAGGAAGTGATTAAGGAAGTTAAACTACCCAGTGGGAGTAGAAAAGACATGGCTAGTCCTCATTGGCAACACCTACATTCCAAAGAGGGAGGGTCAGAGGAGGGGGTACT